GAGTAAGCTCCCAAGCTGACAGAAAAATCTCAAAATGCAGTGCAACAGCATAACTATCATAGGTGTGTAGATGGATAGACATATGGACAGAATAGACCAGATTAGATATACCCATAAGTTACATTTGCATCAGGCCAGAGAAACTCCACACAGATTTGATATGTGTCTCCATAGTAACAATTTTAAGGCATAATTATTATTCTGCTTTTCATGGTTTTTAGATACTTTTATATCACCCACATGAAAGGAACGAACATTGAATAAGTTCTGTATGCATCACCGAAGTCTCCATGGAAACAGCTCACCAAAGTCACCTTCAACAGTTCTACCCAACCATAGAGAGCAGACATATTCATTCTTGTTTCTTTGGCCAGACTTATCTACAGGCATCTGATTTGGGAACAAAACTTAAATATTTCTGTATAATTATATCTAATTCCTCCCTTAAATTCACCAATGGCTATTTCACTTTCACAAATCAGGTTACAAGGTTATCCCCACAGTACCTATTAAAATGTCATAGGCAGTAATAGTTACTTCCTAAATGGGATTGGTCACAAACCTGAAATGGAAACAGAAGACATTGTCATTTGCAAATGAATATTTTGTTCTGAGGTTCCCCATAACACTATCTGAAGATTTGATTTTTTTTTTTTTGGTTTCTCTGTATTGTTTTGGAGGCTGTCGGTCCAGCCTGTCCTCGAACTCACAGAGATCCGAAGATTTGATTCTTTATGTGTGCCTAGTGAGTATACAAACACATAAATACACACACACACACACACACACACACACACATACACACACTGAACTTAGCTTTGATTAAGATTTAACTCTAATGTGGCAATGAAACTTGACCCTGTTTTGAGGAATAACGGTGGCCCGATTACAAATACACAATTTGTGTGAGTTCACATTCAACCACTGCTTGGTACCTTAGCCACATTCTTTTCAAGTACTGTGTTTCCATATCTCAGGTACTGGCTAAAAAAATAGAAATAAGTTGATAAATCCCTCAATAACTGAGGTATGCCCAGTCTACCTGAGCCACCATAATGACCTTTATCACAAAATATCTGCTATGAAAGGGAACTTTGCTTTTTCTTGTAGCAATGTAAAACAATTGAGGAGACCATATACAGAAATGACTTCCTTTATGATCATTTTTAATTCCACGTGTCACTAAAAACAAGGTACAGTGTGATAAACATCCATCAACACAGACTAGAAAATAAAACAAAAGGTCAAGTCTCCATCAAACAGCTGCAACTGTCTGACAGCTCATATTTTTTTCCTTTGTAAGTAAAAATAATGTGAACAACCTCTTTTGTTTACCATGAGAACAAGAGGACAAATAATCAAATGAGTTTCCTAGATGGAAAAAAGTATGGGGCCATCTGTTTTAAACTCTAGTCAACAAAGTCCAAGCATATGTAAGAGGCCTGATCCCAAAGAAGCCAAGATGCAAAGATAGTATAATAGGAAATTATTGTGGTGGGAATCGTGGTGTCTGCTTCTGCTGATTTACTGAAAATCTGTATTCCAGGACTGAAGCCACCATGATGTTTCTTCTTTTATACAATGGTGAGGACTCCCACTAAGGCAGAGCTTTATAAATTCTTTTATTTTTCTGTATATGTTGATACATGTATGTAAGTGGATGTGTGTGAGTGTGTGTGTTTGCTTTGCGCACATAAGTGGCAGTCAGAGGACTGTGTCAAGTCACTTCCTCGGTTGCTCTTCTCTTGCTCCCTCGCAGTGACGGTACAAGCATGCACTGCCATACCTAGCATATGAACTCAGGCGGTCATGGTTCACAGCAAGAACTTCTGTCACTGAGCTGTCTCTTCAGCCCCTCAGAGTTTTGTAAATATGGGAAGGTTTGAGGCAAAACACCTGCCTCACCTGGAAGTGGTGGCGAGGCCTTTAATCCCAGAACTCGAGAGGCAGAGACAGGTGGATCTTTGTGAGTTCAAGACCAGGCTGGCCTACAAAGCAAGTTTCAGGACAGCCAGAACTGTTACACAGAGAAACCCTGTCTCAAGAAAACAACAACAACAACAAAAAACCCAAAAACAACCTGCCTAAACTGGTTTTGTTGACCAGTCTGAACACCCACACTTCTCTCAAGCCTCCTCTGAGGCTTTTCATTTCACAATAGGAACAAACGACCACTCATGGCATGTATCAGTAGATGTTTGTGACCACACTCAGATGTTAGTTCTGTTTATCAAGAAGCTGGCATGGGTCCAGAATGACTTTTCAAATATATATGCATGTGTAACGGTTTCAAAAGAACAAAGACAGTTTCAGTACTTTGGGAATTCATCAAAAAACCAAAATAAGATATAAAAGGAAAAAAATAGCATAGGTAAAATGAAGTCCCCTTTAGGCCAACTAACCAGGGCATTTCATTCCACTTGAGAAAGGCAGACTGTGGTGGAAGTAAATGTCACCTCGTCCACAGGTGGCAGGAAGGTTTCATCTGATAGATGACCCT